ACACGTCTGACCAGTAGTTCAGTAACTACAGAGCACACAAGCAAAACATGCTGAGACAAGGACAATACCATCAACAAGACTAGCAAAGGAACTGTTTAAAGACATTACTCTTTAAACTGTTCACCCCTGTGAGTTTTGAGATGAGTCCCTGTTTGGTAGCACCTTTAGCTGATGTTACCTCCATGCTTGACGTCTGCTCCTTTCAGAATGATTAGCTTTTGTATGGACACAACATAGGATGCACCTCAGTCTTTTAACGTTACCTTCAAAACTTACTTCTACTGGGGTCGTGTATCAAACAGCGTTCTTTCACACAGCCTTTCAGGCCTGATGCTCTCCCACTGACACAGTAAATGTATTATTAATTTAAATGTCCTGGGAGCTGACTACAAGCAACCCAAGCATAAAATGCAGGTCTTTCGGGTCCCAAAGTCGGTGTTACCATTTTTGCCCCTTAGCGTTCTGCAGCTGAAGTTCTTTTTTTTTTTTTTTTGCAGTGGAGATGCCATCTGAAAGGCTGAGTTCCCTTATGCTAGGAATGAACTTGCACATTTTGGCAGCTCTAGAGACCATTCTGCTGTCTGTTATGTGTGGTCTCCATCTTCACCTTCCACAACCTCGGGTACCTGCAGAACCAAGCTGTCAATCTGATCCACACACAACTTGAAATCAAATCATTTTACTGGGATACTTTTCAGACAGTACTACATTCGCAGGAGGCTCAACTTTACAGCAACAGTGGATTGGCTAAAGCCAAACATGAGATTGTATCTTAGGTGAACTACCCAAAACCACACCGCAAGAGAGCAAACATGACCTGCAGCCAGTCTGCGCACCCACCTCATCTCACTCTCAGTTCTGAGCCGCAGACTCCAGTTTCCTGAAGGAAGCTGCATCCCAGCCTGTAACTCGTTAATCTGTCTGCTCAGGAGACACTCAAATCCAAGCCCTTCACGACCCTCAGAGCAGTCAGAAGTTAGAACATGCATCTCACACTTGACCGAACAACATCCTCTACCAATTTAATACAGACTAGCGTAATTTTCCACAAATTACTATGTTGCAAAATACAGATTAACACTTCATACAACTACCCTGAAGTCTCCCCATGACACTTCTACCTAAGTAAAAGCTTTTTCTTCTACCTGGCACACAGTAAAAAAAAAAAAAAAAAAAAAAGAGTTTTGCACCATTGAGTAGAGAAAGAAGTTTAAAGATGATAAAGAATTGAGATGATGATCACTTTTCCACGCTCATTGAATACGCAGGTTTCTCGACAGAAGGAAATTCACTTAAAACATGTAATTTTACCAGGTTAGCCGTATTGATGTAATTCCCTCTGAGGCCAAATTCAGGATCTAATGGCTACGTCTTACACTGCTGACCCAAAAGTCTTTCGGTAACAATGTTTTTTCCATCTAGGAAGTGTTCAAGAGGTGAGAGGTATATAAAACATTTTCCCACAGTGTTTGTGCAGATTCTCTTCTTCTGGAGGTCACAGACCAGTTATTTTGGTATTGAATACAAACATCACAGGTACACAGAACACAGCGTACCTGGGCACACCTCCTTCTTCTCCAGGACAACCACAGTGATACTGACACAGCTGACAGAACTTGTGGTATAGGACCTACCCTGGGTGGGACAGTCTGCAGGGCTGTGATATAGTTTTCCAGAGCAATGCGGCGACGATCATTCAGCATGGCTTCCACCCGTGCCATATGAGTCTCCACCAGCTGCTGTCTTTCATTTGCTGCTTCTTGTTCCAATGATTCCACTTTCTCCTGGAAATGCTGAAAAAAACATCCATCACACCAGGAACAGTGAAGGCATCAGCAGAGACCAGTGGACGTGAACACCTCCGTCTGCAAATCACCAAAATCCTTCCCTATGTCCGTCTAGCTTGGCTCCCAGGAACTCTGCAGTCAACACACCTTTTACTGATTTCAGTGGGAACTGATGATGCCCCATATTCCTGAACAACTGGCCATATTTTATTAATCTAATAAAATATTCCTGACACGTTCAGCACAACCACCAGTGAATCCTTCATTTGCCCTGAGACAGCAGTTCAGCGCTAGAGAATTGTACCTAGAGGAGGGTGGAGTCTGGTAAGCAGATGGCCCCGCCATCATGAGTCATCAACATGATGAGCAAATCTACATGAGGAGAAAAAAAAAAATTCAACCTGAACAGAGTCACTATAATTTCTTATAACTGTCCACCAGAAAGAAAAACTGACCTCAAACTTATTCCAATAAAGGAAAAGATTGATGGGGTAAAATGCACAGAGACCAAAGCTGTGGGATCTAATGTGTGAAGCAAACTGGTTCTGAACATTACCTTTTTATAGTTTTGCACTGAAATAATTCTAGCAATACTGAATAAGATATGACACAGCCACAGTGGAATTCAAGGAGTGTCTGACTTGTCAGAATTTTTGAATTATAGTACAATTTTGGATAAAATAATTTTTGGCCAAGGGTTTCTTTTAGATAAAACTGATGGCTATTCCTTCCTTAAATCTCATTTTCCATCTCTGCTTTGAGCTTAGGTCCTGCAGCTTATATTAGTTTATCATGGCCTAAATTTTGAAAGGGGCCCAGCGGAACAGAGTTTTCAGTTCTCACTGATGGCGAATCTAAATTCAAGCGAAATTCTACCCTGCCATGGCAGTCATGAGTGATGTCATGCACTCCTGTTCCAGGGACTGGCTACAAAGTACAGAGACACCCAGCATCCACTAACAGCCGGAAACAAAAACAGCAACAGCAAAAGCAGAGAGTAACATTAAATCCCCACAGAAGTAGGTTTTAGAATTATATCACACCCAGCACCCCTTGTATTTTAACTGCAGCCCCAGCTGTTAAGGTTGTGGTTGTGTTTTCCTTTACCTGGATAACAGCTTTCTTGTCAGCCTTTGGCAAGTTCTTTGCTTGGCGTTCTGCCTCTTCCCACTCTCTCATGACCTAACGAACAAAACAAGAAGCGTGACTTTAGTATTTTCCTCTCTTGTCTCAGGGCTTAGCAACAACCAAGCACTGCAGCTCTGACAGTCACCTTTTTATATTCCTCTCATCCTTTTATCTCTATTAAAAAAGCAGTTACAACATTTAACGAAGGAAGGATCTGGTTATTAAATTAAACAAAGACAGTACCTCTGTGTCTGAACACTGTGGCAAATTCTCATAGCTCTGCTGTGAAGCAACACAGCTGTTAACCAGCCCTCAAGCGAGGGACATGGAGGTCTCTATGGGTGAACACACCAAGCCCTTTTCATCTCAGACAGAAAGGAAATCACTTCCATCTATTGTATGTCCTCGGTCAAAATGAGTGAATTTCAACTCGTTCTACGTGACACTTTCTTTGGAACCACAAAAATTTCTAGATTTATTTGGACTACACCACTGGCCTTTGAGTAGGACAGGTAAAGAACTACATGTAATTTGTGCTAGTCTGTCCAGAAATAGGTGTCCAGCACTTCAAGAACTGAATATATCTCAAGTACAATGCCGACAGAAAAATTACGTAGGAGCACTTTCAGTACCATTCCTTTCAGCAATGTGAGAGGCCATCTCCTTCAGTAAGACAGGGCAGTATTTCAATAATCAGGGAATGAGTTACTCTTAACTTTATGTCCATAACATCTGAAACTTTCTCGTGGTCTTACTCAGGGACTTTACTCATTTCACACCTAGACAGCAATCTCCTCAGATAACACATTTTATGCAGAAACAATTACTCTCACTGAATGCAGTGCACACAAATAAGCGACTTGTTTACCTGCAGGATTAGCACAATATCAGAAGAAAACAGAAGAAACCTAGAAGCAATTACTCAAAATGTGCATTTCCTTCCCTTCTTCCTTTCTCACCAAAACCACACTTCCATACCATTTAATAGAAATAGTCAAACAAACCCTTTTCTAAAGGGGATTTTAGAAAAGCTCCACACGCTTGACTGAAATTTTACCAAGATCAATACCAAAGGCAGGACAAATTAGACCTGCTGTGTTTCATGTCTGCAAGTTGAGCCTCCATCACTCAGCTCCTGTCTCAGGCTCCCCAGTTGTCCCATGTGCTAGACATTGCTCATCAGGCTCCTTGATGGGCAGACTGCAGAGCACTAGTGGTGCCTCAGGGTATCTGGATAAGCCTGTGCCTTTTAAAAAAAACCCCAAAACACCAAACCTGGGCTCAAAGGAGACTTTTACAAGTCCCAGTCCTTAAAATGTAATCTCCCCTCAGTCCTATATAGACCTTACCGATTAACCAGCATGCAGATACCTGCACCCAAGACTGACTCAACATACAGGATTTTGTTGTCAAGTTTCCATCTTCCTTTTGACCCAAAGCCTGGGAATGTATTTCAAGACAGCAACAACTCAGACATAGTAAAAAGAGATCAACTTGGTATCAGAGAAATTACTTATCTGTAAAAGATTCTGGCCTCAATAACAGCCCAAGAGAGTGGAGACGTATTTTGGCAAGCTAAAGTGATGCTGAAAACTTTAAAGTGGGAAATTGTTTTGTCTGTTCCTGGGTTTCAGTGGGAGTATGGTTAGACAGCAGTTGTAAGCACAAAGATCTAAGTCAAGTACTCAGAAATCACAGTCTTAACTTCACTCTGCTCTTTTACTGGGAACTGTAAGCTAAAACTGAAGTCCCAAGAACTGTACTACAACCTACAGAAACTGGCTGCCTAAAAGCACCTCTTCAATTTATATTATCTTCTCATCAGACAAATATGCATTGATGTGCAAATTGCAGTGAAGCTCTAGGGAGGCAGGAAACCAAAATTTACAAGGAGACATGAAAATTCATTTGCAAGGGGTTGAGGTAAGCAGCTGATGACAGAGAACATGATGCACAGCGCACTGAAGTTACAGGTCATCCCACTACCAGTTACTTTCCCAGTACTTTGGCACAGGAGATCTTCCTGCTTCTCTGACAGAGCAGAATTAGAGGACACGAACTGACAACACAATTTAGGGCACCGTGATGTGTTCTGGAAAAAACTTATTAATGCTTAGAGTGCTGCTGTGTATTAAGTACACATTAGGTATTCATCTCTTAATTGTACACTTAGGCCATATTGATTGCAGTGGCCAAGAAAACTTAATTCATGTATATAGGCAGCACCTTCCTAGAGACCTGAAATGTCATTGGTGCAGCATGGGAACGTTATAGAAGACCCAGAAATTACGGCATTAATTCAAGTCATAAACTACAATTATGGGCTCCCGCTTGAGCACTAGCCTAGGTTAGCAACTTTATGATCACCTTCTCCCCCCTTTCCTTTTATGTCTTCAAATCACATCTCTGACACCTGCTTAATACTCTTTTCCACTTTGAATGAGCAGTTGATGGGTTTTCAGAAAAGTTCCCTTGCCACCTTTATCCCCCAAACTAACCCTCTACTAATCCATATGATGAAAACAAGTATTGTGGGTAATGTGATAAGGAGACCTTCGGCTAGACCAGGTCTCTCTGCCTGTTTTATTTCTCTAAACCTTTTAAAGCATTGAAGGCAGGATGATAAACTGAAAGCCTACACAGCTAGTTGAAAGAAACGTAAATTATGGGCTTCAGAGTTCAGCTTTGGTGCAACAAGAGTGAATGGCTTGCGAAAAAACCAAAATGACAGGGCTCTTTGCAGAAACAATATTCAATGTAAAGATTGCAGAAGCTGTGCTTTGAGTGCTGATTTTTGCAATTGAGAAGACTTCAATGGCTGAAAGCATCTCTGTGTGTATGCTAGCTAAGTGAAGATACAGCTGCCCTACAGCTATCTATGGGAAGTCATGCCACCACCCAGAGAAAACTTCTGCTCTAACCGAAGGTCATCGCCTTACAGAATTATGAGTGACCAAGAAATATGCCATAGCACTCTATAGGAAACCAAAGAGCAAGAGGGGGGAAAAAATTGCCCAGCTACACATGTGCACAGAAGGTCTGAACCTGGCCTAAATACACTTATAAACCTATTCTTCATTGACAGCACAGACCTATGAAAGCCACACAGATTTATGGCTCTTCAAGGCTTGGTGGCTTTGTGCAGGAAAAATGACAACTCATTGAGATTTAAGAGGCAAGCCATTTCAAAGTCAAACTTCTTCAGACCTCAGGACTTAGTGCCTGGCAGACTCCTTTTGAAATCAGGCTGTAGGGGACAGCAAGGGGGAAAAAGGAAGTATGGAAAATGTCATTCATTATTAAGAGAGATGCTAAGTACAAAAATCTCATTATATTGAAAACAGCAGAATTTACGCTCATTTTTTACACTAGGGCACAGAAGCATAGCTGCAAGAGAATAATTTATGGCAGGCATTTGGGTTACAGCAATCAGATCAGCAGAGGTGCTTGCCTGAAGATTTTCTTAGTTAGAAGGTCAAAGTCATGCTAATAAGATGCCTACCTTCGTGAAGGGCTTCTGTCCCACACTTAAGTCTTGACCCTTTTTCTGGTAATAACATCATTAAGCCCCTCCGAAGAGCCCTGACTGTAACTGAGGGGGGTTACTCCTACTACGCTGACAGTCAGTTTTAAGGAAGGAAAGAGCCCTCCCCCACACAATAATAGAGACTGTGGGATCTACGGAATACAGGGACCAGTATTATTTAACATCAAGGACATGGACAATGGGATTGAGTGCACCCTCAGCAAGTTTGCTGAAAACACCAAGCTGTGTGGTGCGGTCAGCACGCTGGAGGGAAGGGATGGCATCCAGAGGGATCTTGACAGGCTGGAGAGGTGGGCCCGTGTGAACCTCATGAAGTTCAGGACAAGTGCAAAGTCCTGTACCTGGGTCGGGGCAATTCCAAGCACAGATACAGGCTGGGTGATGAGTGGATTGAGAGCAGCCCTGAGAACGACTTGGGGGTGCTGGTGGATAAAAAACTGAACACGATCCAGCAATGTGCACTCGCAGCCCAGAAAGCCAGTTGCATCCTGGGCTGCATCAAGAGAAGTATGGTCAGCAGGTCGAGGGAGGTGATTCTCCCCCCCTATTCTGCTCTCCTGAGACCCCACCTGCAGTGCTACCTTCAGCTCTGGGGCCCCCAGCACAAGAAAGACATGGACCAGTTGGAGGCAGTCCAGAGGAGGTCCACAAAGATGACCAGCGGCTGGAGCTCCTCCCCTGTGAGGACAGGCTGAGAGAGTTGGGGTGGTTCAGCCTGGAGAAGAGAAGGCTCCAGGGAGACCTTATAGAGGCCTTCCAGTGCTTAAAGGGGGCCTGCAGGAAAGGTGGGGAGGGACTCTTTGTCAGGGAGGGTAGCAATGAGATGAGGCGTAACGGTTTCAAACTGAAAGAGGGGAGATTTAGATTAGATATTAGGAAGAAATTCTTTCCTGTGAGGGTGGTGAGGCACTGGCACAGGTTGCCCAGAGAAGCTGTGGCTGGCCCCCCCCTGGCAGGGGTCAAAGGCCGGCGG